CGATGTTTTACATTAGTATGGGTTTCCACGGAGCACAGTGCCTAGTGCTCACTCCCCAGTTTTATCCTGTTTTTCAGGTCAGCAGGTCGGGCCGGGAGCGTGACGTGACGGAGCAGACCGGGACTTTCAGGACATTTACATATATGTTTTGGACTGTATAACTATAACTTTCGCTTCCGCTTACTTTTGACGATCTTTTGACGATGCTTTGATGATTTTGACGGTTTTATCATATTGTGATAAACTTTTCAGAAAACACAGTTTTTCAGTAACCGGACGTTTTTAATAAGTTAAAACAATGGTTTTATAAAGTTAAGTAACGATTTTCACGGTAGCACCCCAAAATAGTTTCGCAAAGTAAAAATGTTTTAGTTTTCAAAGACTTTGCGAATAAATGCGCTACTCTCATTTATCTAGTAAGGTGGGGTGTTACATAATAATTTATACATATTTGAAATATTTAAATATACATTTTTATATTTATTAAAAAAAATATTAAAACTACGTTATAAACATTAAAAAAAATGAAAGAAAGAAACACCCGATCAGCCAATATATATTACCAGTTTTGACTGGTTCGACCGACCAAAGATGGGTTGTTGGCCAGTACTAACACAACCGCTTTTTTTTTAAAAAAAAAAAGGGAATTAAACTGCCCAGTTCGATTCAAAACTCAGAACTATGCGTAGAACTCGTTCTGTATTTTTTTTTTNNAAAAAAAAAAAAAGGAAAAGAAAAAATAACTTCAAAAGCATCAAATGGCACATTGCATACCACAACATGCTACAGAAGCTTGAAACAAAACCTCCACATACATGCATTTCAATTCATTACATATTTCACAATCCAAATAAACACTGACCAACTAAAAAAGGGATGAAAAATTGCACAATTACAACAATCAATATCTTTTACTAATTGCAGAAACATATAATGACTGGACATTGCAGCCTTCCCTGTTCAACACCATATTCATAGAACATTCAAGTTTTCGATTTCTCGAGCCATATCATTCAGCAAATTCTTACTTCATCATTTCCATGATCACTTGTTCATTCTTTTCTTCCAAGCCGGCCTTAACTTCTTGACCGCCTGTACTACTTTCTTCTTTCACGAGTCCATAGCTAACCAACAGCTTCTTCCACTTTACTTCCCCATTCAAGTGCTTGTGTCTTGCCATGTACTTCTTGAGCTCGAGTCGGATATTACGGAAGGGCTAAGATCAAATTTCTTCAAATGTAAGCAAATCAACACAAATATAGATAATTCAAATAATTAACTCCCATTAAGCCTAATTACACAAAACCTTCCTCTGATTAACACAATAATCGAGACACACCCCTTGAGGTCTTTGTTTACCCTTTCCATGATTTTAATTAACAAAAACTCAGTTGTTTTATGATATCAACATAATAGAAAAAAAAAAAGCATCATCAGAAACACGAGGATCTCAAATACCTCTGCATGGCAATCAAATGCCAGCCGGAAGAAAACAGCAGAAACTGAGTGTTTCCCCACAGTTTCTGCCAATCTGATCTGGGAGAGCCAATACGGTGAGGTCTCGAGCCGGTCAAACCTGCATTTGCTGCATATCTCCGCACTGTGAAAAGGTGTAACCGAAAGCTTCGGCTTGAATTGAAACGCGGGTGATTTTGCTGGTGTGTGGGGCTCTACGACAGAAAGTTTTCCATTTCTTTCGTTTTCATGAAAACACACGCTCTTTTTCTTGGGTCTTACCGGGCTTTTTCGCCCGGACGAGTCCTGAATAGTGGTAGCTGGCGGCCCGGGGACCTGTGATTGAATAGATTGTGAAGGTTTCGCTACCTTTTTCTGCAGGTCTTTTTCTGCAGGTGGGTAGCGGGTTTTCCTCTGGTGGGTGCTGTTTTTTGTGGTATGTTGGGGTTTCGGGCCGTTCCAAATACTCGTTTTTCACTGAAACGAACCGAAACAGGAGGCAGAAAAATTATGAACGGTGATGATAAAGATGATATTTTTATAAGTTGTTGAGGAATAACGGCAAACAGTTTGGGGATAAGGCACAATTTTTTTACCTTTGAACGAGAGGCTCAACCTTATTGATTTTGGAGGCTTGTGGGATTTTCCTGGTTGGTTTAGGCTTCATATATTTTGATTTAACTGCAAAATTTTCACGAGATTTCAATAAGCAAACTTCAATATTATCTCAAAGGAACAGTTTGAATATTTAATAAATAAATAAATAAAAAGTTTCGGCTGTCCCAAAAAAATAATTCAAAAAGGGAAACAAAAGTAAAAGAAGAACCTGGAAAGGGAGTGGGATTGAGATCCATTGAGAAGAAAACCCAGACAAAGAAGCTTAAAGAATACTTGTGATTTTGAGATTCTGTTTTTATGGTATTGTATTGTATTAAGAAAGGAAGCGTGTTCAAAAAGGAGGAAGAAGAGCGGGAACAGTTTTTGCAAACTGCTTTTCAACGCTCCTCCATGCTCTTTTTTTTTCTTTTTTTTTTT